TCTTATTTCACGAAATATGGTATTTTCCAGATTCATCCATTTTGTTGCAAATGACTGGATTTCATTTATTTTTACTGCTGTGTAGTATTCCATAGAGTACATATCCCATAATTTCTTTATTCAGAAAAGTTGGCAGGCATTTAGGTTGATTCCATGTCTTAGCTATTGTGAATTGAGCTGCAATAAACATGGGGTGCAGATCATTCTTTTATTTGCTGACTTCATTTTCCCTCTGTAAGTTCTCAGGAGTAGGATGGCTGGGTCATATGATAGGTCTATATTCAGATTTCTGAGATATTTCCATACTGTCTTCCATAGTAGTACTACCAGTTTACATTCCCACCAACAATGGATTAGGGTACCTTTTCCCCCACATCCTTGCCAGCATTTGTTGTTTGTTGATTTCTGTATGAAAGCCATTCTAAATGGTGTGAGATGACACCTCATTGTGGATTTGATTTGCATTTCCCTGACAGCTAGTGATCCTGAATATTTTTTCATGTGTCTGTTAGGCATTTAGATTTCTTCTTTTGAAAAATGTCTGTTTAAGTCCTCGGCCCATTTCTTAACTGGCTCATTTTGTTATTGTGGAGTTTCTTGATCTCTTTATATATTTTGGTTATTAATCCTTTATCAGTTGCATTGTTTGCAAATAATTTCTCCCATTCTGTTGGTTGCCTCTTCACTTTTCTGAGTATTTCTTTTGTAGTTCAGAAGCTTCTCAATTTGATGTAATCCCATCTATTGATTTTGATTTTGATTGCCTGTGCCTCTTGGGTTTTTCCGAGAACTCTTTGTGCCAATGTCTTGCAGAGTTTCTCCAATGTTCCTTAGTAACTTGTGGTATCAGGTCGTAGATTTAGGTCTTTAATCCTTTTTGAATGGATTGTTTTGTAAGGTGTAAGGTAGAGGTCCTGCTTAATACTCCTGTATTTGGAAATCCAGATTTCCCAGCACCATTTGTTGAAGAGACTGTCCTTGTTCCAGGGATTGGTTGTAGCTCCTTGGTCACATATTAGTTGGTTGTAGATGCTTGGATTGATTTCTGGTGTTTCTGTTCTATTCCATTGGTCTATCCATCTGTTTTTGTACAGTACCAGGCTGTTTTGATTATAACTACCCTGTAGTATGTCTTGAAATCTGGTATTGTGATGCCTCCAGCTTTGTTTTTGTTGTGTAAGATTACTTTAGCTATTCGAGGTCTCCTGTGTTTCCATATGAATTTCAGCATCACTTTTTCTAGATTTGAGAAGAATGTCTTTGATACTTTGATATTGCATTGAATCTATAAATTGCTTTCAGAAGAATGAACATTTTGATGATATTGATTCTTCCATGAATGTGGAAGATTTTTCCATTTTTTATATCTTCTATTTGTTTCTTTAATGTTTTGTAATTCTCATTCTAGAGATCTTTGACATCCTTGGTTAAGTTTATTCAAGGTATTTGATTTCTTTTGTAGCTATTGTGAGTGGGATTGATCTTAGAAGTTCTTTCTCAGCCATGGCATTGTCTGTGTATACAAAGGTTATTGATTTTTGTGTATTGATTTTATATCCTGCTACTTTACCAAACTTTTCTATGAGTTTCAATAGTCTCTTGTTGGAGTCTTTTGGATCCCCTATAGATAGAATCATGTCATCTGCAAATTCTGCAAATAGGGATAGTTTGACTTCCTCATTCTCAATTTGAATCTCTTTGATTTCTTTTCCTTTTCTAATGGCTCTGGGCTAAAACTTCCAGGATTATATTGAATAGCAATGGATAGAGCAGGCATCCTTGTCTGGGCCCGGATCTCAGTGGGAATGCTTCCAACTTTTCCGCATTCAATAGGACACTGGCTGTGGATTTGTCATAAATTGCCTTGCATTGAGGAATTTTCCTTCTATACCCAGTTTGCTTAGAGTTTTCATCATGAAAGGGTATTGCATTTTGTCAAATGCTTTCTCTGAATCTATTGAGATAACCATATGATTTTGCAGTTTGTTAATGTGATAAGTCATATTGATTGACTTGCAAATGTTGAACCATTCTTGCATACCAGGGATAAATCCCACTTGGTCCTGGTGAATGATTGTTGGATTGTTGGATTTGATTGGCCAGAATTTTGTTGAGGATTTTTGCATCTGTTCATCAGGGGAATTGGTCTGTAGTTGTCTTTCTCTGTTGTGTCTCTTTCAGGTTTTTTGGGAATTATGATGCTGGCTTCATAGAAAGAATTTGGGAGGATTCCCTGTCTTTCAATTGTTTTGAGTAACTTGAGAAGAATTAGAGTTAGTTCATCTTTAAATGTCTGGTAGAATTCATCAGTGAAGCCATCTAGTCCTAGGCATTTCTTTGTTGGAAGGATCTTTATTACTGATTCAATTTCTGTCTTAATAATGGGTCTGTTTAGGTTTTACATGCCTTCATGGCTCAATTAAGGTAAGGTTGTATGTGTCCAGGAATCTATCCATTTCTTCTAGGTTTCCCAGTTTGTTGGCATACAGCTCTTATAATTTCTGATGATGCTTTTTATTTCTGCAATGTCTGGTGTCACATTTCCTATACCAGCTCTTTTTTGGTTTCTGATAGCGTGGAACATCTTTTTCCATCCTTTCACTTTCTGTCTCTGTGCATCTTTGTTGGTGAGATATGTTCCTTGTAAGCAGCAAATAGATGGGTTTTGGTTTTTTTTAATCCATTCAGCCATTCTCTGTCTTTTAACTGGAGAGTTAGGGCCACTTACATTCAACGTGAATGTTGATAAGTAATGACTTTGTCCTGCCATTTTTCCATAAATATTCAAAGGATCTCCAATTAGACTCACAGCAGACTTATCAGAAATCCTAAAGGCTAAGAGAGAATGGCAACATATACTCCAAGTCTAAACAGGAAAAAAAAAAAAAAAAAAAAAAACTGTTAACCCAGATTACTATACTCTGCAAAGCTCTCGTATATAAATGAAGGTAAAATAAAGACCTTCCATAACAAACAGAAAGAATTTGTCACCACCCGTCCAGCCCTGCAGAAGATGCTTAAGGATGTGTTGCACACAGAAACATGGTCATCACTACGGAAGATGGTAAAGAAAGGAAAGTTCCCAGTAAAAGAAGTACAAACAAAATCCAAAGTAAAAAGTAGGAACAGTCCTTGTCTTGACTGTAGAGGAATCTTCCATCTTTTGGTTCACTCCCAGAATGGCCAGAGCTGGGTCGATCAGGAGCCAGGAGGTTCATTTAGATCTCTCAGGTTAGTGCAGGTGCCCAAGGACTTGCGTCATCTTCCGCTGCTTTCCCAAGTGCATTAGCAGGAAGCTGGCTCAGAAGTGGAGCTGCTGGGACTTGAACTGGCACCCATATGGGATATTGGAACCATAGGCAGTGGCTTTACCCACTGTGCCACAGAGCCAGCCCCTATTCTTTCAATGATATTTCATTAAATGATGTTTCATTTTACAAATTTTGTACTTGTTTTATTACGTTTATTCCTCAGTGGTATTGTTACTGTTGCTACTATAAGAAAATCTGACTAAATGGTTACTAAATGGTTTTCTTAATTTCATTTTTGGGTTGTTTGCTAGTGTATAGAAATATATTTTATTTTTGTGTATTGATCCCTGGCTAGAATCTGCAACATAAAGATGAATAGAAATGGCAAGAATGGACGCCCTTGTCTTACTCCTGATCTTTGAGGGCGAAGTATCTAGTCTTTTACCACTAAGTATAATGTTGCTTGTGGATTTTCTTAGATGCTGTTTATCAAGATAAGGGATTTTCCTTCTTATTCCTAGTTTGGCATACATATCATGGAAGTATTTTTAACTTTGTCATATGCTTTATTTTGTGTCTAATGAAATATCACTGACTTTTTCATTGTTCTATTAACATATTGGTTGATTTTCACAAGTGGAACCACTCTTGTATTCCTTGGGTAAATTATACTTGGCCATCATGTGTCATCCTTTTTGTACGTTGCTGGATTCAGTTTGCTAGTGTCTTGGTAAAGACTTTTGCATCTATGTTTATAAGGGTTATTATTTGAAACTGTCTTGTGTTTCTGAGTTTCATATAGGGGTAATTGTTCCCATATAATGACTTGGGAAGTGCTTTCACATTTTTTGGAATAGTTTGTGAAGTATTGACTTTAATTCTTTAAATTTAATTCTTTAAATGTTCATAATTCACCAGTGAAGCCTGGTTCTGAGCTTGTGGGAAGATTTTGATTACTAACTCAATGTTTTTATTTTTCAGAAGTTTAGTCAGATTTTATAATTTCTTTTGAGTAATGTTTTGGAGAGGTTGTGGGGATTTTTCCCCCTTTTTAAATTTTATTTATATAAGGTGAACAAATTTCAGGTATTTCATATGTACAGATTTAGGAGCATAGTGATACTTTCCGCCCTACCCTCCCTCCTTTTTCTTTTAATTTTTACAATGACATACTTTAAACTTATTTTATAATCGTAAGCTTAACCCTCCACTAAATGAATAATTCAACAAATAGTAAGAAGAAAAACAAAAAAACACTGTTCCTGAACAGTAGAGACAAGGACTGCAAACAATAATCACAGCACATCTCAAAATGTCAATTTTGCTCATAAACATTACATTTTTTTTGTATTCTATTTTGTTACCACAGTTCAGGGCAGTCATTTGTCTTTTTGGGGACTGGCTTCTTTCACTAAGTATAGTGATTTCTAGTTGCATCCATTTTTTGAAAGACAATTTCATTCTTTTTTACAGCTAAGTAACATTTTTTCATTTGAAAAATATAAACCAAGTGTGAGTTTTAAGGATGTGTAAGGTAGCTGATAAATCCCAGATTGCATGTAAAAATCCATCCTGCTACTGATTCATGGGAATTAAACTTGAAAGTCATACTGTTTACAGTTCAGTTTTTAAAGATGTTATTTTTTCAAAAGTGTTGTCCATATCCGTTTGCATTATTTTATGATCTTCCTCAGTGATTTGGAATGTAAGCTTTGTTTTTGTTCTTTTTTTGTATTGCTTGTATCTCAGCAGCAATGCAGCAAGTCTTGGAAAACCTTACGGAGCTGCCCTCATCTACAGGAGCAGAAGAAATAGACCTCATTTTCCTGAAGGGGATTATGGAGAATCCGATTGTAAAATCACTTGCTAAGGTATAATGGTTCATTTCTAAAATTACTGAATTATTTTGAAAATTATTATTATAGAAGTCTTTTCAGATGTTACTATTTTAGAACTTGGTCGATATACCTCAGGCTTGATTAGCAAACTTCTTGTCATAAACGTTAATCACTATTGTGCTGGGGTGAATTAAAGTTTTCAGGACCTGTTGAGCTGTAAGGCCTATATTCAATACTTCCTCTAGGTGTGTGTCAGTGCTTTTAAAATAGTTTCATACTCTTTCTCGTAATGATTTTTAGCGTTTATTGCCCATGTGTCTGTTAGGCCTGTGCCCCCATATTTATTTAATTTATGGATTTTGATCTATAGATTTAGAAACTGAGATAATATTATATAAGGCAATTTAAAATATCCTTGAGTTTACAAAGATCTTTAAAATAGATTATAGTGTTTTGTCTGTGCAACAATTTTATGAATTAAAAAGTAAGGCTCAAAGTAGGTCAATGATTTGCCTGAGGTCAGTTTGCTACTAAATGATAAGGTTTAGATGGATATTTTGTCTTTGAACTCTTTGTTCTATTGACTACAACACAGTGTTGCAGAGTGTGTGTGTGTGTGTGTGTGTGTGTGTGTGTTTATTCTTAAGAACTTTACTTTTGTGGGTAAAAATTAACTGGTTTTGTGCCATTGATATAATCATTCAGAGGATCATCTTGTTCATTATTAACAGTTGAAATGGGTGAATGGCTTTTGAGCAGATCAGGTGTATCTGTACTCTTTTGTTGAATAAGAATGAAATAAAGTCACCTAATCATATCCCAGTGTCAAGAAGATTGCCAATACAGCAAAAGCAGTGGTACTTCAAACTCCTGTAGTGTCGACAAAGAAACTACATTATGATTACTCTGCAGGGAGTGACTGTTTAACATAGCAGTTAAGATGCCTGCTTCTCACATGGGAGTGCTTGGGTTCAATTCCTCACTCTGGCTCCTGACTTCAGTTTCCTACTAATGCAACCCTGGAAGGCAGCAATAGTTCGAGTGACTGGGTTCTTGCCACCCACATAGGAGACCTGGATTGTGTTTCTGGCTCCTGGCTCCCACCTCAGTCCAGCCCAGGCCATTGTAGTTGTTTGGACAATTCTGGATAGGAATTCACAATCCAACCCCCCGCCCCCCGCCTTCCAAATGAATATTTAAATACATACATACATACATATTTAAGTATATATATGTATAAAGAAACTATCTGGGGATAGTTTTTTTTTAAAGGTTTATTTTATTTATTTGAAAGAATTAGAGAGGTAGAGACAGAGAGAGGTCTTCCATCCGATGGTTCACTCGCCAGATGGCCACAACAGCCAGAGCTGTGCCAATCTGAAGCCAGGAGCCAGGAGCTTCCTCCAGGTCTCCCACTCGGGTGCAGGGGCCCAGGACTTGGGCCATCTTCTACTGCTATCCCAGGCCATAGCAGAGAGCTGTATTAGAAGAGGAGTAGCCGGGACTAGAACTGGCGCCCATATGGGATGCCGGCGCTTCATGGCCAGGGCTTTAACTCATTGCACCACAGCGCCAGCCCCTGGGGATAGCTTTTGTGTTTCAGTGTGGATGAGAAGAAAAACAGAGTCTGGTAGTCATAATAGAGCTTGAAATTCTGGGAGAAGAAGGTGCCTGGAATTTGTAGGGCAGAATATCAGACAAGGAGTGTGAATGCAGGAAGAGCTCTGGAGATGTGTAGAGGGCTGCATTAAATTTTTGGGTACATCCTGACCTGTATGTGTGGGAGGCTAAACCCTTTAGAGTCCAAGGAAATACCTACTAGAAATTAGTAAACCAGTTTCCAGAGCTCACAAATGATGGGTAATCAGGTGTATTCCTTCTAGCCTAAGTATAGAGTCCTCATAGTACCCAGGAAATTGGCCAGAATTCACACTAGTAAAACTCAAACTAACACAGATGGTAGCAGAAATAAACTGAAAATCAATGACATGTTATCTGAAAAAAAAAAAAATTGGAAATTAAATGATATGCTCACAAAAAGAAAAAAAAAGATATGCTTACACATAACCGTGGGTCAGAGAAGATATCACCAAAGAATATATACAGTATTTTTTCACTGAATTAAAATAATAATGCAGAGGTGCAGGAAAACAATCCATGGAAAAGTGCCTGTATTAGAAAAGAGCAATGGGCCAGCGCTGCGGCTCACTAGGCTAATCCTCCGCCTTGCGGCGCTGGCACACAGGGTTCTAGTCCCAGTCGGGGTGCCGGATTCTGTCCCGGTTGCCCCTCTTCCAGGCCAGCTCTCTGCTGTGGCCAGGGAGTGCAGTGGAGGATGGCCCAGGTGCTTGGGCTCTGCACCCCATGGGAGACCAGGAGAAGTACCTGGCTCCTGCCATTGGATCAGCGCGGTGCGCTGGCCGCAGCGCGGCCAGCCATTGGAGGGTGAACTAACGGCAAAAGGAAGACCTTTCTCTCAGTGTCTCTCTCTCACTGTCCACTCTGGCTGTCAAAAGAAAAAGAAAAGAAAAAGAAAAGAGCAATGTCTCAAGCAGTGACTTAAGCATCAGCCTTAAGGAAATAGAAACAGAAGAGCAAGCGAAACCTATACTAGCATGAAGAACTAAAAAATAAATGTAGAAGTGTGCATTAGGGGCAGACATGGCACAGTGGTTGTTCACCTCTGGGACACCGCATCCCCATACTAATTCATTGAGTGACCTTAATATCAGTCACAGTTTCATTAAATTATTGTGACTAAAATTGATAAAGAACCTAGATTAGCCAAAATAATTTTTGAAAAAGAAAAATGAGTTCTACAGTTTATGCTCGAGGATTCCTATGAGCCTTTGAAATGAAGACAATGTAGAATTACTTGGATGAGTGGCGCAGAGTCGAGGCCAGGAGGAGGCCAGCAGGCCCAGTCGACCTCTGTCTGTGGATTCCACATCCATGGATTCAGTCAACTGGAAGTTGAAAATATTCACAAAGAAGCAAAAAAAAAGCTGTACTGAACATGTACAGATAGATGTGTTTTCTTGTCATTCCCTAAACAGTGAAGTGTAACAGCTGTTTATCACATTGCGTTGTAGTAGATACTGTAAGTAATCTACTGAAAGTATAAAGGACTATGTGTATAGGTTGTATGCAAATATAATCACATAGGGGACTTTAGTATCTGCAGAGTTGTGTATATGTAGGGGTCCTGGAACCAATCCCTCATTATTACCAAGGGACAACCAAACAGGCTCAACTGATTCCCATTACTAATGAATGCCTTGGTAATGTGATGGAAAGATGTTACTGTTTTCAGTAAATGTTGCTGGAATAATTGAATATTCATACATAAACAAATGAATGGTATATGTAATGATTAGCTCAGAATATATTGTAGACCTAGAAATAAAAACTAAGACTAATGAAAATTCCTAAAAGGACATATAAGGAAAAAACTTTGTGACTTAGGGTTAAAGACTTTGTTTTTTAATTTACAAAAGTTACATGTACATGTTGTTTTGAAAGGTGTGTGCTTTGTGGAATGGCTAGTTTGAGCCAGTTAACATGTAGTACCTCACTTAACACTTCTTACATAGGACAAAAATCATGGGAAGAAAATAATGGGGCAGGCATTGTGGTGCAGTAGTTTTAACCATTGCTTAGGACACACCTGTGTCCCCTATCGGCATGCCAGTTCAAGTCCTGGTACCTCTGCTTACTATCTAGCTTTCCCTGCCTTTCCTTCTCTTCTTCCTGTCACTTTGCATTTCAAATAAAAATTTGGAGAAATGAAGCATTATGAAATCTTAACAAATGAGATATTGTGAAAATACAGACTTCCTCTTAAAAAGACACCTACATGAAGAGGCAGGCCGCAGGAGTGCGGTTAAGATCCCACTTGAGACTTACCTCATCCTGTAGCGTGCCTGGGTTCAGGGTCAGCTCGGCTTCCAATTGCAGTTTCTTGCTGAAGTGTACTTGGAAGGCAACAGGTGATAGCTCAAGTACTTGTGTCCCTGCCACCTATGTGGGAAAGCTGGATTGAATTCCAGGCTCCTGGGTGCAGCCTCGTCTAGCTCTAGCAGTTGTGAGACTTTGGGGGAGTGAACCAGCAGATGAAAGATTTTTTCTGTCTCTTTTTGTCTCTCTGCCTTTTAAATAAATGAGAAAAAAAATTCTTTAAATGTCCTGTAAAGTTTATTCTAAAAAAAAAGGGAAAAGAGGCAAGCTACCATCTGGGAGGAAATATTCACAACATACATATATCCTAAGAAGGAAGCTGCTGGTGCATTGCTGGTAGTAATGCAAAATGGTACAACTTCTTTGAAAGGCAATCTAGCAGTTTCTTATAAAGCTAAACATAGTCTTACCATATGTCCCAGAAATTCTGCTCCTTGGTATTTATCCACATGAATTGATAATTCATGTCCACACAGAAACCTGCTCACAAAAGTTAATAGCAGCTTGATTCATAACTGCTAAAACTTTAAGCAACTGGGAAGTCCTTCAGCAGGTTAATAGATAAAGTGTGGCTCTTCTACATGATGAAATGTTATTCAATGATAACAGGGAATGTGCTGTAAAACTATGAAAGGAGAGGGAGGAACCTTAATTTGTATTGCTAAGTGAAATCTTTATAGACAGTTTCAAAAATTAGTAGTTGCTAGGGTTTTGAAGGGGAGAGTGGTGAGAAAGAGGGGTGAATACCTGGAGTGGGGTAGGTTTTTCAGGCAGTGAGACAATATGATGCTCAAAGGTTGATAGATGACATGTGTTTGTCAATGCCCGTGGAGTTATACAACACACAGAATGAACCCTAATATCAGCTATGGGTTTTAGTTCATAATTATCAGTATTTGTTCATCAGTTGTCACAGATGTGTACCACACTAATATCAGATGTTAACAATTGTACTTGGGGTGGAGGAAGGGATATATAGGGACTTTCTATTGTTCAGCATTCTGTAACCTAAAAGCTTATCAGCTAAAGCTCATCATTGATATCAGGGTTCACTCTCTGTGTTGTGCATTCGTAGA